TTCCTCATTTTATGTTCCTCCCCACGCTTTGTCTCAGTTTCCCTATTCATATATACTTTATTTGCAACCTCCATTAATTGTGATACGGAAATCCCTGCAAATCCCTCTAACTTTTGTAATTGTCTCTTGATATTGTTCTGGGCCTGGCTGACAAATGCTGAGTTAATAATTCGGCAATATGGTGGACCAGGGGTAAGTCGGAGAGGCATTTGTAAATATCGGGATTAAAGGGTACCAGTCATTGGTCGAGTTAGTATGGGACTTCAATAGGGTTGTTTTATAGTAAGTTCCGGTCTAGGGGTAGTAAGGTAAGGAGAATGAGGCGGGTTAATTTTACCGGGCGGAAGTTCAATCAACAGGATGTTGCGGGCCGGGCTGGGAGGAGCCTGACCAGGAACCAGAAGTGACGTTAATTCCTGATATATAGAACTAGTGGAGGTAGGTACCAGAGGGGAGGACTCAGGGCAAGTGGGCTGGGCTCTAAACTAGATGAATGAGTGGGCAGGGACAATGGGAAAGGGGAGTGGCAACACCAGCAGCACCTCCTCTAACCTTAGAGGAGGAGTAAGGGGGTGGGGAGGGAAGTTCAGACTCAGAGGGAGAGTCTAAAATGGGCAGGGTTGCGGCCCTGATGGACAGGCGAGACCTGGCCACCATGAGGCGACATTGCACCTCGTGGCATACCTTAATGCATTTAGGCAATTCTTCCACAATCTGTTTCCAACAATGAATATACGGAAACTGATCATAGAATTCAAGCCTACTAGATACAACCGCGTGCACACGTTGCACTAGAGTTAGATCAAGACTACCACGTGGAGGCCATGCGGTCACCAAGATAGGCCACTCTCTACTACATAATGTAGTCAAAAACTTTGGGGATAATTTCACCCCCAAATCACAAACTTTATATCCCTTTGCAAAGTTTTTCAACATACACGACAAGGGATGAACAATCTTTGAGTCAGACGCACCCATACTGGCAACGGAGCGTCTAATACAAAGAAACACAATACCCCAAACACACTTCCAACGATCACACTTGTTTCCCTGGCAACAGCACCACGTGGCACAGTTGCTAGGCCAACACACACACGAAAACACGCAGAGAATTCTCGTACATACAGTGATATCACGACGTCTCACTCACAAAGATTTACCAAACACTAGGTACTTATCTCTGTAACTATAAATCAAACCCTACAATTATCCACATTATAAATCAACTTTTAACTAACCGACTATATCACATTCTAGTAACCTCATCTTTACAATAAGTGGTTATGGTACGGTTAGCAAGTGATTATAATACAGTTTTAAAGTCACAGATCAGTAAGTAACAGTTATGGTGTTACACATCTAACATAAGACAACAGTTTTTAGTAATTTTTACACAACGTCAGTAGTTATAATACATGTTAATGGTTATAATACCGTGCGCTATTATACAGTATACACACAATTTACACTCCCACTAGACGGCAGAGCTCAAGCTTTCTAGCAGGACATACAATTCACCAATTCACCAACTACAGTATATTTAACAACATTTACAATAATCCCAACTATTCTAATTGGCCAGCACCTCGAGAACTATCAAACTATTTACACCAGGATTCGGTTAGTCTACGCTGCCCAAGCACCGCATATAGCGAACTACTGGGCGGAATTTACAACAGTACCCATTTAGTCTATTTACTCTATCAATAGTCTAGTGGCTGAATTTACAACCCGGCACACTTAGCCAAGATAGGTTGAGAACTAGCAGACGGAATATACACAATATACAAAATCTGCTTAGTCTCGCCGGCCTCCCCGACCTAGCGACCAAAATTTACACCTAGACACGCTAGTCAAGACAGGACACCGGTGTCCGGCATAAACTATTTACACCAAGATTTAGCCTGACCCAAACCACCTATATTAGACGGGCTGACTACAGAGCGTCTAATTACCAGATAAGCGATGCGCATTTGCTTCTTCCCTCCAGAGGGAGGGGGCAATCCAATAACCGGTTCCAAATATAAAACCCCTTGTGGGCCTACCGCTCTAACGGTATCAGTCTTACCTCTTAGTTCCTGGACCTGGGTTCACACTCATCGATGGGACACCCTGGTACTCACTGCGTAGAAGCCGATGATCTCCTGGACAACAGGCCAATGGCGCCAAGACGAAGGGAGGTCCACGCAGTAGAAGTCCAGGGGTGCTGCCGTGGAGAACATTGGTAAAAAGTTTACCGTCTCAAAACCCAATGCACCAAAAATGTTACCGGAGGAATAACAGGAACAAACCGCAGAAGCCACACATAGAGATATGGACACAAGTCTTCAGGAAGTAAGAGGTCTTTATTAACATACCGATCGGGCCTCAGATGAACTAACGTTCCAAAACAGGTCTGAGGGCCGAACACATGGAGTACATGCTTTTTATAGAACTATAACTCCTCCCATTAATAGCTCCACCCGCACATACCCTTAACCAATCAGTGGACAGGATTTGGATTTCCTCATATGGGAAGACCACATGGCTCATCCGTAACAAAGGAGAAAGGAGTGTAATTTCAGTTCCTGCATTCCTGCACATGCTCAGTACATTGATGACAGTATCTTAGCTACGTGTAACTAACTAACTGATACAACATACACATATGCCACGTGGAAATCTCTGCCTACTAAATTTAAATTTCACCGAAATTCCATCACATATGTATATCTAAGTGTATCTGTGTATATGTGTCCATGTGTGTATATATGAATGTGTGTACATGAATGTAAATATGTGTGAATATAAATATGTATATTTGATTGTGTATGTGTTTATGAATGTCAGTACGTACATGTCATTTCCTTAACAAAAGGGTTTTGGGATGGTTTAGAGTGAGACACAATGCCGTTCAGGGATGACAAAATGCCTCTCCATGTAATATTCTGCAAAGCAACATTGTGCACACAGTCATATTTCATTACTGCTTATTTGTTTAATTTTCTGTATTTTGTGCTTATAATAAAATATTTTAAATTGAAATGGTTTTATTATAGTCTAATGGATTTAAGGTTTATTTATAAAAAAAAATTAATTCATTTATCAGTACCACTCGCTTATAACTATTTTGCTACAAAGAAGTTAAATCAAGAAAGAAAAGTCTCATAAACCCTATACCTGCAGCACAATACCCATTACAGCATACCGACCTGAACACATCCTTCTATTATACTGTTCTTTTTGTCCTTGAGATATTATCTGACATTTCCAGCTCAACTTGCATGTGTTTCAAATGCCCTTTGTGGTGTTTACCAAGCTACCGAGTTCAACTTAGACAACCTTGTCCATTTATTTTAGTCTGCAGATGAGAAAAGCAGATATTAAAACTTATTTCTCAGTGATATAAAAATAAAATAAAATATAAAAACGATTTTCTCTCTGTTCAGACTTTCAATAAAACAAAATTGAAGTAATCCAACTGCATATAAGATGGAGATTCATTGTATCATTAAACCTAATCTCGGCTCGGAGATCCGCATTAAAATAAGGATGCAGTTAAACTGGAAGTATTACTTGGCAGATTATACTATATTTTTCAATAGGCTTCTTCTTTTTTGAAATGACATTGACTGCTGTCCAAATTTTACTGATCACGATTTGTCTTTTAATGCATTCATGGACCGAGGCTTTATTTACTTTAATTGTTGCTCTCTCTTGTATATTAGGGTTCTTGTAACCCAATCCGTTCTTTAAAATATATCCATTTATCCTTAATTTTGTGCTGACAGGCTACTTATGGAGCCTGCTGATTAATACATTTATTTTCTGTATTAAATATAGTTTAATAAACTAAATAAAATAAATTATTCAGCAGGTAGATAAAGAATTACTTGCTAATTAAATAATTCATAAAGTTTAGGGACACTAAACTTTGCACCTTAACCACCACAATAAGCAGATGTGGTCACCCAGACCATCTGCTCATGGAAGTGTTCTGAGTGCAATGTAGCTGTACCACTTAGTCTAGTAATGTAAATGCAATGTATTCCGGACCCTATTGTGTACCTTAAATATAACTTTTACCAAATATAGTCAGCTGAATTAAAGTATTTTAGCAAACCAATATTAACTGCTGCAATCTCTTTTTAATTAATAACCCTCTTAAAACGTTTATTTAACCCCTTAAGGACGGAGGCAGTTGTACAAGTTCTGATCAAATCAAAACCTAGAATTTGACTATATGTCTGTTCAACTGTAATTCACCTCTTTCATTTTACGAGTATCCACACTTATTATATATCCATTGGCGACCGCAGGGGTGGTAAGGGGGGCACTTACCCCCCCTGGATTTTTCAGCTTGTTCTGCTATTTTTTGTGTGAGATTAAAAATACAGTGCACTACTGTGTATGGAGAGAGACAGGGATAAGAAGCTACATCTTTTTCCTGCTTCTCTCTCCTGACTGAATCCGCAGGGGAGCAGCACATGCAGCCAGCAACTCCCAGACTGCAGAGACAGCCTACATATCAGGTAAGTGAGAGATGGGGGGGCAGCCTACAGATCAGGTAAGTGAGGGAGGGGGGCAGCCTACAGATCAGGTAAGTGAGACATGGGGGAGAGAGAGAGACTATAGATCAGGGAAGTGAGGCATGGGGGGCAGCATATAGATCAGGGAAGTGAGGCATAGGGGCAGCAGCCTATAGATCAGGAAGTGAGGCATGGGCAGCAGCCTATAGATCAAGGCATGGGGCAGCCTAATAAGATGCATGGGGGCAGCCTATAGATCAGGGAAGTGATGCATGGGGGGCAGCCTATAGATCAGGGAAGTGAGGCATGGGGGGCAGCCTATAGAGGGCAGCCTATAGATCAGGGAAGTGAGGCATGGGGGGCAGCCTACAGATCAGGGAAGTGAGGGATGGGGAAGCCTACAGATCAGGTATGTGAGGGATGGGGTAGAGAGAGAGCCTATAGATCAGGTAAGTGAGGGATGGGGGGAGAGACATCCTATAGATCTGGTAAGTGAGAGATGGGGGGAGACAGCCTATAGATCAGGTAAGTGAGGAATGGGGAGAGACAGCCTATAGATCAGGTAAGTGAGGGATGGGGAGAGACAGCTCATAGATCAGGCAAGTGAGGGATGGGGAGAGACAGCCTATAGATCAGGCAAGGGAGGGATGGGGGAGAGATGTCTATAGATCAGGTAAGGGGAGGGATGGGGAGAGACAGCCTACAGATCAGGCAAGTGATGCATGGGGGGGGAGAGACAGCCTATAGATCAGGTAAGTGAGGGATGGGGGGGAGAGACAGCCTATAGATCAGGTAAGTGAGGGATGGGGGGAGAGAAAGCCTATAGATCAGGTAAGTGAGAGATGGGGGAGACAGCATACAGATCAGGCAAGTGAAAGATGGGGGGAGACAGCCTATAGATCAGGTAAGTGAGGGATGGGGGGACAGCCTACAGGAAGGGTCAGCAAGGAGCAGGAAGGTAAAGTAAGAGAAGGAGCACAAAGGAGAAGGAGCAGAAAGGAGAAGGAACAGAAATGAGCATGAAAGGACATCAAGGAGCAGCAAGGGGCAGCAAGGAGCTGGAAGGGACAGCAAGGAGCACAAAGGTAAAGTAGGAGAAGGAGTACAAAGGAACAGAAATGAGCAGGAAGGGGCAGCAAGGAGCAGGAAGGGGCAGCAAGAAGCAGGAATGGTCTGCAAGGAGCATGAAGTGTCTGCAAGGAGCAGAAAATGTCAGCAAGGAAAAGGAAGGGTCAGCAAGAAGCAGGAAGGGCCAGCAAGGAGCTGGAAGGTAAAGCAGCACAAATGTAAAGTAGAAGGAGCAGAAAGGGTCAGCAAGGAGCTGGAAAGGGCAGCAAGGAGCAGGAAGGGACATAAGGAGCACAAAGGTAAAGTAGGAGAAGGAACAGAAATGAGCAGGAAGGGACATCAATGAGCAGAAAGGGTCAGCAATGAGCTGGAAGGGGCAGAAGGAGCTGAAATTAGCAGGAAGGGTCTGCAAGGAGAAGGAAATGTCAGCAAGGAAAAGGAAGGGTCAGCAAGAAGCAGGAAGGGTCAGCAAGGAGCTGGAAGGTAAAGCAGCACAAATGTAAAGTAGAAGGAGCAGAAAGGGTCAGCAAGGAGCAGGAAGGGACAGAAGGAGCACAAAGGTAAAGTAGGAGAAGGAACAGAAATGAGCAGGAAGAGACATCAAGAAGCAGGAAGAGTCAGCAAGGAGCTGGAAGGTAAAGCAGCACAAATGTAAAGTAGAAGGAGCAGAAAGGGTCAGCAAGGAGCTAGAAGGGACAGAAGGAGCACAAAGGTAAAGTAGGAGAAGGAACAGAAATGAGCAGGAAGAGACATCAAGGAGCAGAAAGGGTCAGCAATGAGCTGGAAATGGCAGCAAGGAGCAGGAAGGGACAGAAGGAGCATAAAGGTAAAGTAGGAGAAGGAACAGAAATGAGCAGGAAGGGACATCAAGGAGCAGAAAGGGTCAGCAATGAGCTGGAAGGGGCAGAAGGAGCAGGATGGGTCTGCAAGGAGAAGGAAGGGACAGAAGGAGCACAAAGGTAAAGGAGCAGAGAGAATAAGAAAGAGCACTAAGGTAAAGTTGGAGAAGGAGCAGAAAAGGTCTGCAAGGAGCAGAAAGGGATCAATCTGCCTGATGTCAATCTGCACTTCCTGACACTCCGTTTCAGAAGCCGAATACCACTGAGCAACCTGGAGATCTGGAGCTGGAGGAAGCCTTTGGGGTTAAACCATTTGAGAGTGGTTTAACCCCTTAAAGGAAAGAGAGCACTCAGGGGCTTCCTGGCATCATAGCATTTTCATTTAGATGAAGTCGTTATGGTGACCAGAATGTTGCTTTAATTTGCTTAAAGGAACACTATAGTGTCAGGAATACACACATGTATTCCTGACACCATAGTTGTGAAAACGCTATTCACCCTGGCTTTATGTGATAATTACTATGCCCCTTCCCTTTCATGATACTGTCAAAAAGGGACCCCCCCTGGAAAACGCCCATGTATATATCATTGTGTTCAGGAGAAATAGGCTTTCATTTTATATTAAATATTCACTTAAAAAACCTAATTTAATATGAACAATAAGACAAAGAAAGGATTTCTAGCACTAATGAGAGTATTAGTAGGCAGCTAAATCAACCCAAACCAGAGTCTCTTCAGTTGGTGAAATGAGTATAAAAACACACTTACAATATTCAGGAGCTTTAGGTCAGCTCCAGATGGTAGCGCCTGGGTGATACAATCCCCGCCTATGGATGAGGTGGCTCTGTAGGGCCTTGGCAGATGCTTTATCTGGATCTGATCATGTCACGTATCCTTCATATCCATGTGGCAAAACCCGAGATAATTACCTTCCGAAGATCGAGGGGAGTGCTGCTCGGCTGTCTTCTGCCATGATGCCTGACATGTGTGGCATGTCGGTGCATGCCGGCCGCTGCGGACCCATGGAATTATATAGCCCAATGTCCGTCCACGGTAAAGAAGACATCAACGTGCGGGTGATGTCACGCAAAAGATGCACATGCACGTTTTGGGTTCAAGAGCTAGGTACAGCCAATCGGATCTACAAGAGGGTTATTTAAACTAACTTATTGCTTAGCTCATTGCCCTGTCGTGGTTTCCTTTAGAAGGTTATCCGAGAGTGTGTTCCTGATCGTGTTTTTCTGGTTTTTGATTTTGGCTTCGTTTTGACTTCCCTGATTTCTGGTACCCTTGACTTTTGGCTTTTCCTTATCACTATGTCTCGTTCTGTGTCCCTGACCTTGGCTAGTTTTCTGACTACCGTATATACTCGAGTATAAGTCGAGTTTTTCAGCACATTTTTTTGTGCTGAAAAAACCCCATTCGACTTATACTCGAGTCAATGTCTGTATTATGGCAACTTACATTGCCATAATATAGACAAGGACCGCCGGGCTCATTACAAGTCCGGCGGTCCTGTTGGGGGCTGGCAGCGAGCTGTAACTTACCTTTCCTGCAGCTCCTGTCAGCTCCCTTCTCCTCCGTTCCGGTCAGCTCCCTTCTCCTCCACTGTAAATCTTGCGAGAGCCGTGGGGGTCAGAGCGCTCCGCGCGGCAGTCACACCTTAAGGTGGAGGAGAAGGGAGCTGACCGCAACGCAGGAGAAGGGAGCTGCCAGGAGCTGCAGGAAAGGTAAGTTACAGCTTCCTGCCAGCCCCCCCTCCTACACAGCCCATCCACTGGACCACCAGGGAATGAGAGCCCCCCTCCCTGGCCAGCTAACAAGCAGGGAGGGGGGACGAAAATAAATAAATACAAATTTAAATAATACAAAATAAAATAAAAATAATAATAATATTAAAAAATAATAATAATAATAAAAAATAAATAAAATGCCCACCCCCCAGCAAGGCTCTGCATCACATACACACACACTGCATTCATACACACACTGCATTCATACACACACACACACTGCATTCATACACACACACTGTATTCATACACACACTGCATTTATACAAACACACACACACTGCATTCATTATATTCACACACTGTAAATAAATATTCAATTAATATAATTTTTGGGGGATCTAATTTCATTTAGAAATTTACCAGTAGTACCACCCTAGTCTTATACTCAAGTCAATAAGTTTTCCCAGTTTTTTGGGGTAAAATTAGGGGTCTCAACTTATATTCGGGTCGACTTATACTCGAGTATATACGGTATTCTTGGATATGTTAAGTCCAGCCATTCTAAGGCCCGATAAGACGGTACACTTAGTTCCAAGGTGTGATACTATTACTATGTCATTATACTATTCTGTGTGGTGGATCAATATTATCCTGACAGATCACAGTAGAATTTGTGTGCATCGCCAAGCTTGAAAGCAGTAGGACACTGTTGTATTTGTATGGAATAAAAATAAAACAGCAAATAGTGCTCACTGATATAAAATCAAACTTGAAAATAAATAAAATAAGAGGTACTCACAAGAGAGGAGCAATGACAATTGCATAGGTGGTATAATCACCACCAAGGAGTTTTCCTCTTGATAAATTATTCTTTAAAAACTCCCACGCATGTATTTTAATGTATTTTCTACACAAAGCATTAAAAACAAGTAGCCAACTTAAGACTGTAGCGTCCCTTAAAGAGTGTGATCTTCATCTTGACTTTGGGTGAAAACAAATCATTCAGACACTTGCTGTTCCATCTGATTATAAATGCTGGGCCAGATAAAGGATAATGCTGTTCTCACGTTCACGTATTGTCGCAGAACTTGCAGACCTGCAGTTTTAGATACACAACCTTTTAGTCTCCATTTAACCCAATTATTTGAAAATTACAGCATTTAGAGAAAGACACTGTAATAGCACATTCAGTAAAGATTCAGCGTGATGCTGAGGTAAGCAATTAAAGTAAAGAGAGTTTATAATACTTGGAAAGCAGAATGGAGTAACATTCTCAAAGTCTTCGAAGAATCCTATGGAAATTCAGAGTTCTAAACACCTCTTACACAAATATTATGAGTGGAAATGGAGGAGTTAGAACACAACAACAGCAGGTTTTTGGCACTGTTCTACAACCAAGAGCCGACTACACAGCAATCCTTAAATTACACCCTATCTGTTTTCATTAGCAAAGTGGATGTTTCATTAAAATGCTATTGATTTGAATAACCTGCAGTAAATGTTTTCTGTTTTCTCTAAAACTCCCCTAAAGAACCAGATGCAGCCGCTCAGTATGAATAAGATTACATTGTGATGCTATGCCAGGCAATATCAGGGCGAAGTGATGGCAAATCTCTACTTATAATTACAAGGCTTTAAATAGCATTACATATTGGTTCTGCAAATTAGAATCCTGTTACTTGTGTTTGGAGTGCTCAGTTCCTGCAAGCAAGAGAAGATAATGGGGGAGATTTATCAAAGGGTTCTGTTCTAAAATGTGGTGCAAAAATGTAAAAGGGGGAAAGTACCCAATGGATGGGCCTGCTCTTTCTACTGGTCTACATGGTGACCCACTTTCAGTACTGTATATTAACTTTTAAATACAGTGCCCATTATAAATCGCCACCATTTTGTCACTCAATGCAGGTAGTAGGTGTCCCATCAAGATAAGACACCTTGGTAATGGCAATAAGAAATGTCCATCAGTGAACCATACTCAGCCAGCTTGAATATTTTTCACAGCTGTGCTGTGCTGTGAGTTGGCATCCTGCCGTTTATGAGTTTGCGAAAACTAAGTTATTGATAATAGGAAGGAAGAGGCAAGATGCCTTTGAACAAAAGTTATCTTCAAAATGTAAAGTTCCTCCAAGATGAACAACAAAGAGCTGCTGATGTTAATAGAGCAGCATATAAAAACCTCTAAAGTGGACTATCAAAGAGACTAC